GTTGAATAATTTTCTCAGAATTGAGAGCATAGGGCCGAACTTCAGTATAAAATCAATGCAGTCGTTAAATGCCGGCAGAGTAAGCTGTCCATCAGTTACAGCGGTTGACGGCAGAATAGTAATGCCTTCTGACTTATGTTTAATCAAGCCGTGCTTGGGTACAGAGGCCGTGGGCTTTCACCGACCTGTGAACTTTGTTCTGATCTTGTCTCGAGGCAATTTGCAATTAAGTAAACTTCTAACAGACCAGGTGGCTTAGTTTCAGAGAGAGGCAAACGGTGTAAAAAAAGTTACACTGAGATAAATAGAATGCACAAAACGAATTGCAGAATGCAACCGGTGGTCAACAGGCACAGGCTAGCAGAACTCTAAATGTCAGCAACTTTATTTTGATCGCAAATAGGCAAAATCATTTTACATAAATATGTTCGTCAAGGGCTTTGCATCTGCCCCTTCAAATATATACGTATATACATACATACAATGGAATTTTCGTGAGATGTCCATGTGTGATTTTCCTTGGCGTTAATGAAATTATACCAAATTAATACCTGACTTAAGGCGTCCATAGTGTTTAACAATATTAGGCCTAGTTCCCATGCGTCTCCACGTACGAAGGGTTCTTGATAGTTTTGCCCATTTCTCTTAAGTGCATTGACTTACATTTTATTCTTAGAAAGCAAATACCTTACAAATTCTTCGAGATGTAACCGAGTAAACTTTGGTCAAAAGTCCGACAGTCTTTCTCAGAAAGGCCTCAAATTAAACGCGAATTGGTTTGTCTACGTTAAATGCAGCTCGCGGACACCGTTTTAGAGCTTAATGCTAAAGAATGTCAAAGTTCGCAGATTCATGTCGGAGTTCAAACAGGAAATAATCTCATCGTCTGAAACTGTGAGACAACATAACAGGACTCACGCTAGTGAGGGAGTAGGGGTCTCGGTAGAGACAGCGAAAGTCTATTGTCACTGTAAACTATGTCACGCAGCAGTCACTGCCCTCGCGCCCACCCTGCTCTGGGGGCGAACGGCGGACATCGTAGTTGACGGCATTCGAGATGTCAGGTAGTTCAGTATATCGGTCTTACTTAGTGAAAATATTAACCACAGTTCCTACCGCGTCAGATATCTGTATTGTTCGCTTATCCTGGTACTTCCAAGCCAAATCCTTTTCCCATCGCGATCTTCCTTCTGTCCGTCTCGTCTGCTGCGTAGGCTTTCCTTTTAAGCTCAATAGAGCAAAAATTGTCTTTCACTTCCCATAGACGCATTTGTCTGCATTTTCGCTCCGCAAACTAGTTGAAGCCCGTATTTTAATACTCGTTTGATTATGAACTGCCAAAAGGAATCGCTCACCACTCCGTTGTATATGCGAAACGGGAACTTGAAGACAAATTCGAATCCGACAGCTTGATCGAGAAAGGCCTCGCAAACCCTTGTCTCGCCAAAATTGAGGACTCCGGGAATGTGTCAATCCTTACTCGCTAAGGGTTCCCCCGGTGATACCAACATATTTGTTAATTGGGAAGTACACGTTCATTAACCCAATTTGTTTTAGGGGATACAATTTATGCGTAGATGCTGAGTTTGCCATGTGGAAACAAAAAGTGAAATCAAAATGCATAGGCTTGAAAGATAGATTCACACGTTACAGAGGAAGATGGAACGTATGAAGGTCCAATAATACAACCGCTGGTGGTCAAGTCTTAGATGTGCCTTCGGAATTTAATCCAGAGCGGACTGCTTTTCAGAATTCTGGTTGGCTTGACTATTTATCGAAATCGAAGCCGGGCGATAGGGCGACTAAGCGTTCTTAGGGTCTACTATCGAAGGGCGATAATGAAATATACTTAATGCTTGGAAAAGGTTCACTCGCATCGGAAAATAGACCGATTATGAATCCTCGATAGACGGTCATCTTCGGCCCATCGTACTCAGAGATACGACATTTAACAACGTAGGGACTGAGAGAGCAACTAAATGACCGCATCGAGAATTTGAACAGAAGCCTGACAAAACGTGACGCAAAGTAATTACAATTGAACAAGTTGCCTAAAAATCTGTCTTTTGGTAACAAGACTGGCTCACAGTCGGGTTGAGGTCACGGCACATGAGAATATCGGAAATTACCACAGAGCGGATAATGCAAGTGTGCGTCTGCTGTGCGACTCTCTTCGAGGGATGTACACTGAGCCCCAAGCCACGACGGAACAAGTATGCTATGCAGCCCGCTCGGTGAACACACATCAAACATAAGTTGGTATTCTGAATCTCAACTGACAGGGCAAGGAGCCAGTGGTTCAGTGGTCGAAAGTTCGACTCAGTGACCTGAATGAGCAAAGGAGTTCCCCTATGCAGCGTCTCGTCAAATTTAACGTAATCGAGATGAAGAGCGAGATCACGGCATCCACAATTAAACATCAACTTATGAGGCCCAAAGATCCGCTGTCATTGAAAGAACAATCAGCGGTGGTCTACAGTATACCATGCCAACATTGTGATGCACTGTATGTTGATAAAACGGGCAAACGCCTCGTCACAAAATTGCACGAGCACCGGTTTACAATCAATCCCAAGGGTAAGCTGTCGCTGGTCTATGGCCGCACACAAGAGTAGAATCACGATTTCGTCTTCGAGAAAGCGAGAGTGATTGGCCGCGCCAGTGGTAAGATGTGCAGGCTGATGTTGAAAAGTTGATTCTCAACTGTCACGCCTAACGGAGTCATAGACCTAAATCCTACCTACCAGGCGGTACGCACACGGCCGACACTCGCGGAGAAAAGAGAAGACACCGACCGGAAGTCACGTGACCGGCGTGGCATACTATCTCACGGACGTAGCCGAGAGGCAAAAACACCACGAGAGAGTACCAACGAATGACCAGTCCGTTGTCCGGCGAGGGAGAGGCCGAAGAACACACCGACTTAACGGCAACCACGATAATTGCGAAGGGGACGCAAGCCACGCAAGTCCGCCAATGGTCGAAGTCAGAGAGGCCAGAACAAGCCAACAGCAAACAGGCCGGCCGCGGTTAAAATTCGAGGCGGGCGGCAAGGCTAAATAAATCAAGACCAGTAGGAAAAGCCAGTGAACGATTCCGACCTGATCCATAAAATCGCCTTCTCTTCTTTGTCTTCTTTTGGGGATGATAAACACTATAACACTCGAATCTTCACGCATACTAATATTTATCTGTATTTATCTGAATCTCAAGAAGAAATGAATTGAGATTCAATTGAAATGTGACGATTGCACACGGTAGCCGCTTACCTGTGCAAACTCCAAACAAGCGCATTTTTTTTAAAATCTGACGACGATCTGGGGAACCGGCGTCGGATATTCGAGATCATTGCTTTTCCTAGAGAATAAATATGACATCAACTTCTATTTCTGAGGTACTTAAGTTCCAAGATTGATATCCTCGTAACTTTTGAGCCCGCAAAGTCACGATAGACACTGACAGTGCCAAATGTGCACTTGTAGATTGTCGGGTAACGAAAATGTGGGTAGCAAAACCTTGTTTACTGGGAAGGGGCAGATGCCTGCCTATTCTCGGTGATAAAAGAGGAGCGGTTTACCTGGGGTAGACCATGTTTTGAAGGAGCTGGTGTAAGATCCGCAAGTGACCCTGTCTCACCCCTAAATGGTCCAAGCCAAGTGAACTAGTCCTGCTGTCCTTTACGCACTTACTATCTCAGCGCAAGGGCAACTAAAAGTCTATGAGCCACCTCTAGTTTGTTGTACAAAGCCTGGTCAGGACTGCTGAAGAGGATGACAAACAAAGTACCCAGACAGTTACACGAAAGAATGAAAATGTACAAAATTAACAGTGTTTATAGGTGTCTCAAGGGCTATCAAGTCATGAACACTCATCTTCCCCACGCCGTCCACATGACGAGGTCGGCGGGTTTTGGTCTTCAGAGCTAAGGGAGTGGGATAAGTGTGTCTTTGAGGGATGTCCTTGGATTGAATACACGGAGTACCCATCACTGTAATTAGGGATTTGCGAAGGCATGTCGTCATCACTTGAGGTTGGCGTTGGCCACGACAGTGAGAACGCTTGTGTCAGGGCTTTCTGACAGTATAACACGGATTCACTAGCCGTATAGCCACTGCTTCGGCCGTTGCTAGTATTCGATGGCGTAGGCCTTTAAAGAAGCTTGTTGGTGTCCGACAGACCACCTGAAATGCTGCCTTGGCATCGACTCGGTGATCCGTATCGATTAAATGTGCGAGAATAGAACTCGAAATCGATCGGGTCTCACCTCTGTCTAGCCAGGCGGGCATATGTTCACGCATCCCTTTTACCAGGCATCTCGTTGCACGGCCGATGTATCTCGCTCAACAGGAGCAAGTGAATGAGTAAATGCGCATTTATCTGGCCTCCAACGGTAGTCTGTATTTACCTCCCAAACGTAGGAGAAGAGAGTTTGTGAATCGTACGCGTAAATTCGCTGCGGGCAATGCTCTCGTGATAGCTGTAGTTATGCACAGTCTGACTAGTTCGCTCGCTGAGTAACCTGCAAAATGCAGTCACATGAATACATCTTTCTTTTCCACAGTCGCAACAGTGGGCTTTGCGAGGGGTTCCCCAATATTTCGGAGGATAAATCTATTTGAAATTCATTCTCGCAAAGTGTGTTGCGCAGCAATTGGAGCTGTAATTCAATAGCTTCAGATGAGCAGATGCGCTTCACTCTAGCTGTCAATCCCTGGACTAGATTTCGTTTGATGTTGAGGGGAACAAAACTGTGGAAACGGACGCATCGTCCCGTCCAGGTTTTCTTTCGGAACACCCCCGCGCTGGATAGACCCATTCTTCTGCCTGTATAGAAGAACATCGAGAATCGCAATTTCGTTATCTGCTTCAGACTCGGCAGTGAGCTTTATCGAGGAGTGCGCACAGTTGAACATTTGGACAAGGTATTCAGCAGGCACGGTGACTTGCGCGTGAATTAGTTTATAGTGACAGTAGAATTACACAGCATTCACCGCACTCCCTCACTCCTCCTCCTCCTCCTCCTCCTCCTCCTCCTCCTCAGCTGGACCATATGTCCAGACACAGTCAAGAAGACCGGAGGCGGGGGAGGGCGCAGGTGGCTGGCACGGCCGGACTCTCACTTTGGCGTACCACTCCACATCCTCTGATGCACACAGCAAACGACCACATTTTTGACCAACTGTGGAGGGCCGGCAGGGATCCCAGTATGCGCGACGTCTGCCGGCCACCAGGTCTGCCACTGCACCCAGAACTGTTGGCATTTGTTATGGTGCGCAAATCCGATAGCGCCTGCCAGAATTTGGATATGACCCCCGCGTTGGTCCAGAGCATCTACCAAAAGGGCCCGTTTTGGGGGCCAACAACAGTCTCACTCTCCCTTCCCACCAGCGGTCTCTCCGAGTCACGCTGACTAAAAATACGATTGGGCGCAGTGGCTGGGGCGACACGAAGTCACAGTCTATCGCATTCTACACACAGGCTCTCGTAGTACAGAAGTGAGATGTGCCATAATGCCAAGTCCGACTTTCGTTCCACAGTGACGCTAAATCAACTCTCCAAACCACAACTATGAGGGGTCCCCGGATAGTTTCAACCGCGCCAGGCTTAATACCGTGCAAAATGAACTAAATTGCCTAGAGGAAGATTACCTCGGCGCCGAAATAATTTCATCTTCTTCCACACATTAGTAGGTTTTTCGGGTCAGCGTGGCGTATGACAATTCGACCATCGGTTTCGATGATGTCCACCGTGTGCCCCACAGTTGCAGCAGCAATGGGAGCAGGGACGGTGACTTACGCAGGGATTTATAGTGCCGGTAGACTTGCGTAGCATCTACCTACACTCTCTCCTCCTCGCTCGCCCGAGCCCGGTGTCAAGACAGAGTCAAGAAGACCGGAGACGAGGGAGGCCGCAGGTGGATGGCTCGGACGGATCCTCACCTTGGCGTTCCACCACACCCCCTGGTCCACACAACAAATAATCTGGATTTCAACCAACACAAGAGAGATTTGGAGGCTGGCACGGCGTATAAGCCTCTGTCTAACGCAGACCACGGCAGCAGCAGGCACGGGGGCGCGCACAGACTTGGCGCAGATCAAGCGAGGCACAGACCAGGTGCGAAGCAGCCTGCTTGGGGGTCGAAATCAAAAAACACGTGCCGCCCGAGCGAACCAATCGAAGAAGAAGATAGAAAAAATGTTTTACTTTAAAAGAAGTCTCTTAATTAAGCGACTACAGCAGCGTCCCGATTCAGTCGTAGCGTGGAGCACTGTGTATAGTTTTGTCAAAGTTAGGTGGTCACAGGAATGGTGTCTCTGCTGTTTTAAGTACAAGAGGTCCAAAGTAAATGCCAGCGGTGATATATAATGCGAGGATGATGAATGGGGGGGGAGGGCGCGGGGTTGGGGTGGCGATAGCAAGGGTACGTTGGGGGTCAAAAAAGCCTTTTCGCATACATATATATGTGTGTCTGCACGGAAGGCGAGCAGTGGTTGCTTCTATGCTGGGCAAGCAGACGGAAGGTTTAACAGCCGAATTCGTTCTGAGTGATAAGCGAGAGGTCCTTCATGAGACCGTCTAGGTTGGCCATCTCTTGGGTCAGTTCCTCAGTGCTGATCGCTTTCTGGGCAGAAAAAAAATCAGGCGCGGTTTAGGAAAGTTGTCCGCCAGCGTCACATCTAATGAGCGGAGGGAAGGTGTAAACGAAAACCCCAGAAGCATGCAAACTGCGTTAGCAGCTGGTTTAGAGGTCAGTGAGACGTGAAAAGGTTCAGGCACTTTTATGGAATATCAAGAATCGCTTCTAGCGAAATACTGCTTAATACGGACCCGACATTCTCCAACAGGAAGCTCCCGATCCCAGGTGCGCACTGACATTTGTTCATAAGTCGTTGGAAAAACGTTTTGTGCAGATAACCATCAAAAAGAGGACTCCGATAGAAGTGAAGACCGAGGAATACAAATTTCGTTAAAGCGTCTTTCAGTCGACTACTAGCTATCCGGGGGCTAAAAGTCTGTAAGGGCCTCCCATGCCAGAACCAGCCTACCATGGTCCTCGCAGCCTGGTATGCGCTGCCACTTTGCTGTTCCCTGCTAGGTGTGTAGGTCGTGAGCATAACTGCTCAGTCTTCCTCCACCTTCCGACCCGTCGTGGTATTGTTGACGATTAAAATCCTGATCAATTGTTGTGTGGACCAGAGGTTGTAGTGTGGAGCACCAAGGTGCGGGCTTGGCCGCGCCATCTACATGCGCCCACTCCCGCCGCCGGTCTTCTAGACTCCGTCGTTACACCGGATTAAGGTGGAGGGGTACGAAGATGCTGCGCAAGTCTACTCTCACTAAACTAATACACGCGCAAGCCACCGTGCCCGCTAAACCTTCTTCTGAGACACAAGGCGGACGTCGTCGGGTAAGACGGTCCAACTACAACCACTGCTGCTGCTACTACTACCACTACCACTACCACTACTACTACTACTACTACTACTACTGCTACTACTACTACTACTACTACTACTACTACTACTACTACTACTACTACTACTACTATTACTACAACTACCACTACTACTACTACTATTACTACAACAACAACAACAACTACTACTACTATTACTACTTCTACTACTACTAATACTACTTCTACTACTACTACTACCGCGGCTACCAGAACTACTACTGCTTCCATTACTACTTCTTTTCCCACCAGTAAAACTTCTACTACTGCTACTACTAGCACTTCTACTGCAGCTACTTTCAGCTATACTGAGAGGCTCAGGATTTCAAAAAAGAACGGTGTCTGGTGTCTCAGCATCGAGAACTAGCTGCGGTCATGACACTGACTACTACTTTGAAATAAGAGGCACAAACATACGCACGTACATAGGGGGGTGTCCCCTTAACAACATCGAATGTAGTAATGGCAAATGGATAGAGACGCGTACCGGCATGTTCGCAGAGGTGGACTTGGTCATCTTCGTGGAGGCGTTCTTCCGCGGTGTGGAGGCCTTGGACTCAGAAGACGGCCCGGTCCTCTTAACTGACAATCTTTGCTGCTGCTGTTGCTGTTTCTGATGGGGGGCGGGGGCTTCGGAGTCAGTCTCCTTCTGAGTGGAGAGAATACGACCGGCACCAGCATTAGCACCCAGGCTTGCCTTCCGGGCGGATTGATGCATCGGTAATGGGGGAGGCTGGGCCATGGGAGGGAGCCCCGTGGCACAGGTTGGCGGTAGGGAGCCGAAGCGATGCGAGGAGTTGGAGGTGGAGGAGACTGTGGAGGATTCGCCGAAGTAGGCATTAGCAGTCCCCGAGCCCTCAGAAGGATTGAAACCGCCAGTGCTCTGGAAGACGGGGTGGCCGGCACCAAAGGCAGACGAGAGGAGGCCTACAAGGCGAAAAGAAGAAGCGGGTGACTTTCGGAAAAAGTTATAAGATAGCCTCATGATTACTGACTTGCTTTGTTTTACCTGCCGGTATATGCGTCGAAACGTTTAGGCAGAAGAAACCAGTTATGAGACAAACAATCGGAGGTGGGGCTCTATTACGTTGTCCGGGTTTGTTGACGTGTTATTATCTTTGTACTATAATTGATTTCAGTAGGCGGTTAACATTTTGTTTTTCTGTTTCCGCCTGGTTTTCGTGAGTTGCGGTTAGGATCATGGTAACACTAGTGGCTTGCCCTAAGGTTTTGGGGACAGTTTCAGGTTGATGCCTAGCTGCAGGGTTAGGAATAGATTTATTCTTAATCCTAATATAAGGACTACCTTTCGGCTTATCTTTAGGCTCGCGGTTATGTTAGGATTGCTTTCGTCGGTTTAATGGGCGTTTTGGGATGTGGGTTAGTTTCAAGGCGGACTCGAAAGGACTTTGGCGTTAGGGTTAGTGCTAGGTTTAGGGTTAGAGTCTGCCCTATTGTCCGGCTTGGGAGTGAGTTTTGGGCTAGGGTTTGTGCTAGGTTTCGGGTTAGGTTTGTGCTACGTCTAGGATTAGGGTTTGATTTAAAGTCGGAGTTAGGATTAGGGTTGGAATTAAAGTTTATGGTTAGGGTTAGCGTTAAGGTATTTTGGGTTAGTGTTTCGGACATTGACCGACTTTGAATATTAGACTTGGAGTTGGATTTAGGCATATGGTTAGGTCTTCAGTCATGGTTACTGTTAGGGTTGGGTTTTGAACTAGGGTCAAGGTTAGGGCTATGGTTAGCATGACAGCCAGAGTTAGAGTTAAGGCTGGGTTTTGGGTTAGTTTTGGTAATAAGGTTAGGGCCCATTTAATGCTGCTAAATATTTTCATATTTTTTCGGTACATATGAAGACTTTTAAGATATCTTCGTTAAAATATTGTCATTTTTGCTATTATTCAATAGTTAAAATTTCACTTTCAATCCTTTACGTAACGCTGTTTGGATTTTTCCCCATCCTCATCAAATTTTCATACCTTTTCTTTTTCTTAACTTATAATCGCACTTTTTGGGTTCCTGCTTGGTCTACTCTTTACTATGCTCGCTGGGCACCCACTTTCTACGGCATTGGTGTCCCAGGCCATTCCCATTGGTTATCACCTTATTCAGTTCAGTTTCAGTGACCCTGACCGTCTAATTATTCTTTTTAGGCGTCATTTGGTTTTCGGGTTAGCTTACTCATTTTTTAAAAAATTGCGCGATATTTTATTCACTCAAACAACTGTTGTATTTTCTGGGTTACGCATTGGCAGAAAAGCGTCAGTGGCTGACTTTTCCACTGTATGCCTCCTGCTCCATGAGGAAAACCCCTATTACCACGGCTGCCGTATTACACACGCCTACCTCTGCGTGTCTAGGGTCCCGATAGTGTAATAGAGCCTTGCCCAATCGGAAACACGGTAAGCTCGGTAAGATTCAAGCTAGTGGCGAAAAAAAACTCACCAGAACTCGTTTCCGAAATGAGATCTGAGGCGGTGACACCGGGTCCAGACAAAGTGCCGTGGGCCCGAGTCAGGGGCACCCCAGGATGCTGCAGGTAAGTGTCCTCGTTTTCTGCAAGAAGACAAGCGTAGTCAGTGACATAAAGATGTCAGGACTGTCAGTATGTAAGATCACAACACGGATTACAGCACTATAATTGATCAAAATGGTCGGAGGTCATATCTTAGAGCTTTGGAGTCTGGGAAGGAAAGATGAAGAGGCTTTATGGGTGCTTCCATAGACCTGTCTTAAACAATTTTTTGCTTAAAATTTTGAACTTACGATTTCAAAATAAAGCGCATTTCCTCTCTCTCCTCTCTTCCTCTCTCTTAACACTCATAAACTCGTGAGATCTGTGCCCGAGGGTAGAAAATAGCTGATGCGCGGTTTCAATAGTGGCAATTTAAGTCCTAAACTGACAAAAAATGATAGCTCAGAAAGTACACCGATTCTGGACACACATTCGCTTCCCGTCATTCCAAATTTCCAAGGAGCGGAAACGACCGCGTATCCAAAATAGCAATCGACACGGGGAGAATCTTCGTTGGGTGGCTCTTTCTGCAGCCCACCAGGCCCTCCGGCTCAACGAAGGACAGAGCAGGTGCGAACATAGACCAAACAGAAATCCAAACACGTGGGAGCCTACGCCGGACACGCACGTCACCGCACCGCAGCCTGGATAGGGCGAAGGCGCAGTCGTCAACATTGCCACAGACGAGGCAAATGACAGTTCAGGGGACGCAAACAAGACTAGCCGCCCGGGGCCACAACCAAGGTCAGTGTGAATACGGGTGATTGCCGCCAACGTCCGGACGCCGGCCACAAACGAAAGGCAGGCGGATTGACAACATTCCGCCACCCTCCTTCCCCCCCCCCTTCCGCTACGGAAACGATCCTTGTGCATATGTGGGCGATGAACCCTAGAGCCAAAACACTGACGATTAACAGCTCGCATCCACCTCTTCCTGCCGCTCCGACTGTTAACGCCGTGTTCACATGATGACAAACCGCTGTAAATACTGTGGGGCGCGGTGCGATACTCGCCTCCAATGACAGAAGCTTACATGTTTCGGAATCGTCAGGATAAAACCAGTAATTGTTCCTGTGGAACCATAAAGGTTTGACGAATATATCCGGACAACTGTCTTTTGGGAGAAAATGTACATATTCATACGATTATTTAGTAAGAATACAGTGAGTGTCCGATCCTATGAAATGTTGGCCGAAATTCTGAAATGGTTCTCGATTAAGAAGGACTACTTAGGCGCGGTTGTAATAGTGATTGTCATGCAACATAATCCTATAATATTTCGGACTTTACAAGATGTCAGCTTTTGAATACACCACTTTTCTATCGCCTATAGAAACCGTACTCGGTGAAATGTGATTATTTAAGTAGCATGCATTTTTCACATCGATTTTCGATGGTCTCGTAATTCAAACATATTTTATAGAAATTGCGAATAAAAATATGCTTTCTTTCAGTTTCTTGGTAGAGAATCATGTCGTCTTTATATTCTATTCTCAAAGAAAGAACACAATTATGTTTTAAAAAAGTTTTCCAATTCTCGAATAAGCTGAAACCTGATCAGTCGTGGCATTAGCACTTAGTGATTTCAGTCTACAAGGGGCGTGCGTTCCACGTAAAGAAAACCACATATTCATCTATGTCTTTAGAAAGATACTATATGGAATCTAAAAAATTGTGCAATGGATGCGGACTATGTTGTACATTTCATGATAAGCAGTGGTAAACGGACAGGTAGGATGCCACATGAATGGACATTGCGCGGTCTCAAAAAATCACACAATTAGAAACTTTTAAAACCCAATTATAGTCTTTCTTTGAGTATAAAACATAAAGATGACGTGATTCTCTATCAACCGACTGAAAGAAAGCATATTTTTATTTGTAATTTCTATAACATGCTATAATTGCAAGACCATCGAAAATCAAAGTGAAAAATGCATGCTACTTACGTAGTCGTTTTTTTACCGAGTACGGTTTCTACAGATAGAAAAACAGTGCATCCAAGAGCTGATATCCTGCAGAGTCCGAAATATTATAGGACACTGCCGCAAGATAATCAGCATCACAACTGTGCCTAAAAAATCCTCCCTAACGGAAAACGCATTTCAGAATTTCAGCCAACATTTCATAAGATCGGTCACTCATTGTATATGATCCGAATGCATCTTAATCCTATCTGTCTTCAAGGGCTATGGCAGGTGACTTCCTACACCTTGGCAGCCAGATTTTCGATGAAGTTTGCAGTGATGAGTTCAGATCCCATAGGTCCTCATGTGTACTTCGCCAATACAGAAGAGAACGCGACCGCAACATCAAGCGCATCTTCTTTAGAGTCGCTTCAGTCTCCTTAGGTATCATTGCTCACACTGCAATCTGGTCCGCGACCAGAAAACGCAGTCATTAAAGTAGGCCCTGACATAGCAGCAAGATAAGGCGAGGCTTTGAAGTAGACTGACCCCCAGCACCGAGGTCGATTCGGGGGCCGGATCGGACAACACCATCGCCATCAGTGGGCCTGGCAAGGAAAGGCACCGGGGGCAGGTTGGCGCGGATGAAGTTGCCTCCAGTCGGACAGTAGTTGAGAGGCACCGCATCGTGCGGTGTCGGCTGGGCGTATCCTCCGGCGCCGCCCGTATAGAAGGCAGCGGTGCCTGGAGGTGGCGGACAAGTGGGCTGGTATCCGGGCAGACCACCCGGCTGGGCCACCATGACTGGTCGACAGGGGTCCGGCGGAGGGTACGTGTACCGCGTCACCTACAAAGAGACCAGGCAAAAATGTCAGTGTAATAGTAGTCAGGTGGAGTGAATGGAAAACGTCGTGAATCGTAAAGAAGAAACTTAGCAGCATGTTATTACCGACAAAGACAAGGGAGACTGGAGTGGCCATTTCTGGCTTATTAGCCGCCGTCAGCCAGTCATACCCAACCCGGAAGTGTGGAATACCCAAGGCTCGAACTCGCGACCTGTTATATATCTACGCCTCGAACCACTGGGCCACGAGCCCGTTGACCTGTCGGTTTAGATCGGGAATATGCAATCGTAGGAGGCACTCACCGATCGTTCTTACGGAACTCACTCGTTCCGTTGTGCCTTACGGGCTCTCTCTCTCTCTCTCGAGCCCAACCAGCAGCCGCACAGCGGTCATTATTTCGACGCCCCCTATTTCTGTCTGGCCGACATCTTCGGCAGGAGCAGACGTTGGGTTGGCGATCACAGCTATCCGGTTCTTTACGGGCAGAGTGTCAGAAATGGTTCCAACCGTCCGGACCATCCAAATTAAATCCCTCTTCGTTGAAGACAGTCACCCAATGCCACTGATCCGTTCAGATGGCGTGATCCCCAGGTCAGCGTATTCGTTGTGTCTTGTGGTACTTGGTCAACTGCGGTAATCGTCTAAGCTTCTGATAAACACAGAGACGAACGCTTTATGATCCAGTGAATTGCAGTGTCTTTGAAAACACCAACGCCAAATCTTGCTTGATTGCGTATATGCTACTGTTCCTCGCAGGTACATTGCGTAGTACTGCTCTTTTCCGCTGAAGAGTCTGGTTCCTCCTCCTTCCGGCACTTTTAGAAAGCTGCGATCGACTTTTCGGTCTCACTGGCATCGTCCGACTTATCTAGAATCCACGCTACGGAATGCAGAAAGCTCGTCCGCGAAATCTATACTCGTCAATTTTATGAACAAATCGAGTCATGAGCATTGATCACAGGGTTATCGACACCCTATTGGTAGAGGGTGACAGCCACTAAGAGCTGAACACAACGTAGCGTCTACATTGCACCACAAACCAACTTCAGATGCGCAGAAAGGCTGACACATTAGGTGGTCCAATAAGCGTCGGACGGCCATGCTTTGACTATTCTTATTACCACTTTGTGATAATATCTTGTCCACATTAAAAATTGCCTCTTTTTACGCCGTAATACAATGACCTAGTCGGTCTAAGCGAAATCGTGGTCAGGAACAAGTGGGCTTGTATTTGTGGGACAGGATGCATAAGTGATCATGAACTATACGACAGTTTGCTTGTTGGGCAGTAAGACGCTTCACTGATCAGTTTGCCTGATAAGCACCACTAATGGCTGAAACGCAGAAAATTTTTGGGTCAATAGAGAAGTGTAGCTAACCCGTGGGACCCAAAGATCCCATACCTCCCATCAGTGATCATCCTCCTTACCGGCAAGACAACAATGCACGGAGAAACAGAGACAAAAACTGGTTCAAAACCCATATAACCTAAATCTTTACAGGTGCGAGGAATTCAGTAGATTGAATGAGGGAACTCGAGATACGAATGTGCAGAATGTTCAAGGTAGTATTGCAACTTCGCGAACTAACCGAATCGCGGGATTCTTCTGGAATTCTTCTAGACCGCTGCTACAAAAGATTGGATTATGAATGATAGCCAGCCAGAGTTAGTCAGGAGCAAGCATGCGGGTAAAAAGTGATTTGAGTACAGCAAAAACAATGAGAATGCAGGCAGAGTTCTGATTGGACAAGTGGCAACAAGCGTGATAGGTAAGGGTATAGTATGTAACCCCACTGGGAAAGCTGTGGTCAACTGCAGCTCTAACGGCAGCCGCGGGTAGCCTTAGTTCCTAACCCGTAAACACTTAAGTCAAACACGAACGCAGCCACAACCCTAAATCAAGCTTTATGTTAGCCCAAACACCCCTAACACTAATCGTAAAACTCTAACCTTAACCCCGGTCGCAATCCTACAACCCCAACCCTAAACCAAGACTCCAATCCCAGTCTCAACCCCAAATCCAAACCATGGTCCAAGCCTAAAAACCCCAGCCCTAGGCGTAGCCCAACTCCTAACACTGACATTTACCTCAAACGTAGCCGCAACTCTAAATTTGAGCCTAATATGGGCGCCTTAAACGCTGGTGAGGGTGAGAATCCAAGCATCATGTAACGGTTACGAACCACGCCCACCTTAATAAGGTATACAAGTAGATTTCTGAACAACTATCCAAGGGGGGTTACATACCATACCCTCACCGCATGTGATGTATATCCTAAATCAATGACTTGAAATCAGTTAAGTGGGCACGACAGAGGTAAGCGAAATAAAAAAAAACTGTTCCACTGGAAACACGAAAATATCCACGACTCACGTCAGACAGCTGACTCTGCATAGGCGGTGCGTTGGAAAGGGGACTCGTCGTGAAGTAGGCAGCGCTGTGTTTCACCGGTGACAGAAGGGACACGACGGAACTGATGCTACTTCCAGTGGCCCCCCTGCTAGCCGCGTCCGCCGAACTGCCATGGCCCATGGGATCAACCACCGACGGAATACCCACCGTATGGCCTGAAAACAGGGAAACAACAATTCGAGTTCAACTATCGACCGCAGGTAAATGTTTGGCTTTCTGTTCACAATCCTGACACATCGCCGCCGCCGCCGCCGCCGCCACCACCACCACCACCACCACCACCACCACCACCACCACCACCACCACCGTCAACGCCAGTGATGGAGACTCGGCCTATACCCTGTCCGCCTTGCGATGGCACCTTCATCTCACACATCGGCCTGGTCGGTCACTTGCGAATCCATCGCACGAAGACTAGCGAACCAGTGCCTGGAGCACCAACCCACACTCGCCGCATCCACCTCCACTGTCCACACTGCCCTCGTACACCCATGCACTGCATGGGCCTATTCGGCGCGTCCACGAAAACCTGCGCTAGATAACCGCCGGCTGCACCACACCATCACATCCTCCCCCACCAGCATCTAAACGCACATCAACATCACCCACTGCAAGCACCCAACTGTCACCTCCCACGCAAGTACGCGCCTAGACTCCTTCTCCATGCGACCCACCATCTGCATGCGTGATAGGAGTCTGAGACGAAGACGGTGCGTCGAGCGCCGTGGTTCTGAAGGCAGACGACTGAGGAACCAACTCAGTCCACGCAGTCTGCCCAGTTGTGTGTGTTGTGTGGAGTGGCGGACTGGTGGGCTGCGAGCCAGACTGTAACGACCTGTGACACTCTCATACATGTTAGGAGAGTGTTTGTGTGTGCTTTATGGGTAGTGCCTCTTAGTCGACGACTGTTTCGTTACTCAACCTTGAAGATTGACGGCTCAGGCTAAATGCAGGGCCAGGTGTCGCCCTTCTAGATCAAAAGGTCTGACAGCGTGTGCTATGCCTTCGCAGTCTGGTATGCGCTGGCAGTTCCCTGACACCTGGTTCCCTGCCGCTAGATTAGCTTGCGCCGCCGCTGGGTATATAGATAGTGGACATGGCTGCCCAGTCATCCTTGTCCTTCTGATCACTGTTGGGGTGGTGTTGTTGGTAAAAAAATCCTGGTCAAGTGTATGTTGTGAACCAGGCGATGTGGTCGCACGCCTAGGTGCGGGTCCGACCGTACCAGTCACCTACGCCCTCATCCGCCTCCGGTCTTCTTGACTCTGTCTTGACACCGGGTCCAGCTGGAGAGTGAAGGAGATAAAGAGATGAAGATGCTGCGAAAGCCTACTGTGACTATAAACTAATTCATGCGCAATTAAACGTGCCTGTCGCACCTAGCTGTGTAGCCCACGGTGAACATCGCCGACATCGACGGTCGAACAGTCGCAAAGCGCTGTTGGTTGAAATATACGATGTCTATTTATTTATAATAGGGCAGAAAGTGCCGTACCTGGTGGCTGCGAATGTTGTTGGTGCTGTAGGTATTCCAGCATGTGACCCTCCTTGACACTTTTTTCCATCGTAGCGGTCGCAGTCTTCTCATCGACACCGACCACATTGTTTGCCTGTTTGGCTGGTGTGAGGAGACAGACGTTTGTCCCATTCGTTGTGGCCTCTGCAGACGGATCCGGCTTGTAGCTGAGGAGAGGACGAAACAGTCACAGATACGGACTAAGGGCAGAAAATATGTGCGGAGAAGGCGGGACTTACCGGACGATCATGAAGGATCTGCGCTTCAGCCAGCAAACCAGAGAGACGACGGACACCAGGAGGACAGACACGACGACAATAGTGGGCGTCAAGAGCCATAGATTCGAATCACTACTGTTGTTCAGAGAATTGGACCTTTGTTCTCCGGCCGCTGATCTGGGATCCGCAGACAGGGGGAGATCGGGATCCCCAGGAGTCCGGTCTCTAGAAGAGGCGTCGAAGACCTTGCTGTCGAGCATAGGCTGGGCATCGGAACCATCTATACTGATAGTGCTTTCTAAAAATCCAATCAGAACAATAATCAGAAACAGCTACTTTTGACATGTAAGTAGCTACGTATAATGAGTTTAACAGCTCACTTTTCACTGTTGTTTCGAAGATTTGAACAAGACTCCAGTCGCCGACACGAGATTGCGAAGTAGTCCCCGATTTCTGTGTGTTGACGCTGAAGGCGCGAACGCAGGCAACGTAACGGTTGCCTGGTTTAAGTCCCTCCAGACGTGCCCAGGGCACAGTGGTATTTACTTCCGTTTCTATGGCCTCCGCATCCGTCGGGCAATTAACTGCAGAAACCAGTGAGGGGGGCGTAGATAAGGGTGGAGAAGGCAAGAGTCAGTAGTTCGACAAAATTAAGGAAGTGAAGGCAAAATTTGGGGGCAGACAATGTCTCACCAAAGCCGTCCGCTTTTTCAGGTGATTGACTAGCATCGAGGCTGTTGGGTTCAAGTAGCTGGTAACGGAGTTGGTACTGGAGAGGATACAATTCTGATGCACAAGGAGACGCCCTTTGCTGGGCGCGACGCGAGCTCCCGCTTCCGCCTTCGTCAAAGGAGGAACAGGTGGGCGGATCCCAGGTGAGAACTGCCCAGTCGTAGCCCACGGAAATGGCTTGAAGGTTCACCGGAATTAGGGCCTCCTTACCGTCTACAGGCAGATGAGAGAAAAGAAGGCGGATTAGAGAGACGACAAAGAATAGCAGGATGGAAAATGGAAAACCAAAACTCCTCCTGACGTACGTGATCTGGGCTTAGTCTGTGCTGTGATCATTTCGGACGGCCCCTCTCCGTCGTCAGAAAGGAGAGCGATTGAAATTAGATAGGAAGTTGCGGGCTCTAAAGAAATTTGAAATTGTTGAAATCAAAAATTCAAGGCAGGGATTAAGGAAGTTTTTAGAGATCTACAAATGGCACAGGATTCTTTTTTAGGGATTTTAGATGCAAACAATTAATCGTATAATTCAGGAAAGCACAGGAAAAAGTCCAGTGACAGCATTGTTATGCAAACAATCTGAAAATCTGAAGGATACTAACTCCAGATCTGCCAAAAGTTGTCCCACTAAATGGGTTTGCTTAAAATCACACGTGGTTGAAAGCGGACGGGGTACCAACTGCGTAGTGTTTACGGGAATGATGAGCTGGTATCGGTCACCTTGCTGAGTGTACCCTAAGCCTGACTGCGATAAAGTCTAATTAGAGGACAAAATACAATAACAATGAATACAATTATAGCAACACTAAAGCGTTCAGCAGATGGCGGAGAGGAGCTAGTGAAAGCGGTAAATTCCAGAAATCAAATAAGACCTACTGAAATATAATTAAGTAGAACAATTGGGGGATAAAAACGGATACCTAAATGCTCAATGGAATAGGCCCGCTTCTCCAGACCGACATAGGCTTCTGAGGGGCCGGGGTAGAGTGGACCCCAGCGGATGACACAGCCACGGTATTCTTGCGCAGTCCCTGCTGTAGGCGGCATAGACCAGAGCAGGAGGATGCTGCGTTCGTTGGTGATGTAACGCAGGTTGTGAATCTGCAGAGGCGAAGAGCAACCGAGAAATGAATGGCAAAAGGCTTAAAACCCAAATGGCCAAAGCGTGCCAACATGAGGCATACACTCATTGGGGCGGTCTAGTACACGAGGGGGAGGAAGAACAGGGAAATGGAATCCCCCTCGAAAACATAAAACGAGTGGAAGAATGACAAATAGAAGAGAAGCAGATTCTGTTGCAGCGGGAAAAGGATACTTTTAATTACCTTTACAAGTGATGGCACGACCGCATTAGAATCCACTGCGCCATTATCCTCGAACTGTTAAAATAGATTTAAAAAATTAAAAATGGAGGAGGCCCCAGACATTAGCATATATATTATTGAAAAGCAGTAGAAATCCACAAGTTCCACCGATATAAATTACCAGTCTTCAAAAAACACACGGACCATTTTTATGTCGTCTGATTTCCAGGCATGCTGACAAACAATTGCATACGTCTACGAGGAGCCAAATATAATGTACAAAAACTGGGTCTTCAAAGGCGCCACTTGACACCTTCGAGAAACATTGAAGATAATATTAACCGGAAGTGGCGGTGCCAATCGTTAGGGGAAGCACGCATGATGAGAGCGAGTGTGTGGTGAAGGAAATTCTTCTCTTCAAAATAACAAAAACTCACAGTTTCCTCTGTTTGCGGGCGGTGAGTATCAAGTACAGTCTTTCTGGAGGTGGTCTGAAAGTGGAGGAGTTTCGACTGTGGTCCGATGCCCGCACGGGTGGCTGCAGCGATCGCCATGGTGTAGTTCGTAGCCGGATTTAGCCCTGTATTTAAACAGTTACTTATAAACATTTAGTAGAAACAGTTCGTGAATATAGTTTAAGGCGCCAGCGCGACTTCGGACGCCTTGGCAAGCTGACCAAGTTAGACTCACCAGTGAGCGTGTAATTAAGTGAGTCAGAGACTGTCACCTCACGAGGAGAAAGCCACTCAGGGGAATTGAAAGAAAGCTGGTAGGCCACAATTTCACCGTTCTCGTTAGCAGCTTCGGGCTCGCGCCAGGAGAACATAGCTGTCAGAGCGCCCACATGCGTGAGAGTAATCTAAAATAATCGGGATACCAGAGGTGGGAGAACACGGCATTACGAGATTGATTTGACAGACAAGAGAGAGTCCTCTGTAGATTTCACTCAGAACAATCTAAAAAGCCATTGTAGGAGTTGGATATCCTTGCCCGTGGCAGCTGTCAGTCACGTGAAATGGGATTTCGACCTTTGCGAACGACGATGCTCACCGTGTATTCTACGGAGCACGCGAACCGTTTATAGCGAGGCTGACTTGCGCGGCATCTACCTCACTTTTTCCTCCATCGATGGGCAATTTCAAGATAGCCGAAGGTGGGCTGAGGCGCGTGTCACACACACACGACCAATTTGACGCAGAATGACAGTTCGACCGTCGTGACCGACGGTATCTACCGTGTGCTTCACGGCAGGTTGAGAGCAGGCGCAGTGACGTGCGCGTGAATTAGGTTTTAGTGAGGGTAGGCTTGCGCAGCATCTATCGCACTCACACCTCCTCCCCCACCGCCTGGGCTCGGTGTCCAGGCAAGATCAAAAAGACCGGGGGTGAGAGAGAGGAAGCAGGTGGCTGGCACAGCCGGACCCGCACCTAGGTGTACAACCACCGCCCCCTGGTTCACAACAAACACCTGACCCGGACTTCAGCCAACCACAACAATGAGGGACGTGAGCCAGCAGCCGGGCCTGCCAGCACACCCCGAATGTCGGCATTTGTCATGGTGCACATTCAGGATAACGTCTGCCAGAATCCAGCGTGCCCCCCTCCCCCCCAGCGCACCTACCTCTTGGCCCCTTTTTGCGGCAGAATAGGGGACTCGAATCTCGGCAACGCGGTCGATAATGAGGAGCCAATGGGCCTGACTCCCAGCACTCGAGCCAGTTAGCCCATACGCACACACAGCACTGGTCACGAGGACCAAATTATCCAGACAGTTTGTAGACTTCAAAGCCACTGCTTTTGGCGCGTCGTGGAATGAGTTCACCAGTGTCGACCGCACTCTCTCTCTCCTATGTAATAGTTCACTGTCCTGGCGCCGCGATTGGGCACAGTATCTGACAGAGCTGGTCAGACACCAGATTGCACCAAAGAAGGTGCCTCTTTCTGATGTCAACGGCGCATGTTCTGTCCGCGTGTCGGGTATTGGGAGCGGGTTCGTGTGTGAAGTATGGACTGGTGGGACTAGGTGTGGTGGTGGGGTGAGGTCTCCAGTGTTTTACTTCAGGCTTTCATGAAGGCGTCTAGGGTCGAATAGGTCCATGTGAAAATGGAACGTCCATGGGCAGTGTGTTTGTGTGCAAGTGGAGCGGATGCGATGGATGCATATTGGGGCTCCTGACACTGGTACAGGAGTCTCTGTGCGATCGATTCGCAAGTTCTCGACTAATTCGTATCTAATGCAAATGGACGGTGAAGGTTAGGACAGGACGTGAGCTGACGGCAACGCTGATGATGGTGGAAGAGGTCCTAAGGTGTAGGAGGTGTCAGTCATCTACGTATGAGCAAGTATTAGAAATGCCCCGCCGCGCTAACCCTCTTAATGATCCGGAAACCGACTAAATGTATGACGAACATTCCGAAAAATAAAAAAACTGATTGCAATGCTCGATTAATGTTCTCCTTTCCTACACGTGCACCTGGAACTTGATCATTCATCTTCAAAGTTGCATCTCTGGTTTCCATCCAGGGTAAAATGATAATGGGATCTGTCAATTTGCTGGAGGAAAGTCATTTACATACCTTCGTTGGTGGACCCGAAGGAGGCCGTGAGATTATCCGAGGTGAGGACGTAATGACGGCAGGGTGCCCATCGATGTTTGCGTTTGAGACTGCAAAAATTCGGATTTTGTAGAAAGAGTCAGGCTGCAGACCGGATATGACGTAAGATGTAGTTCGGAAGCCCCCAGGCACGTCAAACCTGGACCATTTGGCTTCTGAGGACTGAGTCCACGAGCTGTGGGCACCGGGTCGACCAAGCGCAAGGTTGAGCAGCATAACACTAAACATAAGCAAACAACATGATACTCAAGTCATAAAGGTAGATTGTATGTTGTAGAAAAATTAAGTTTTCGAACACGCCAAACCTGTAGTGGTTGATCTGCAACTCGGGCCTGTCAGTTCTATCAACTGTCGGCGGTTCCCAGGAGATTTTCAGTGCTGCGAAGTCCGTGGATTCTGCTTTTGGATTCTGGACCATTGGCAAGCGAACAACTAGCACGGAGGCAGAAAATACAGGATTTTTCAAAAATCCGACAAATGGCCGCAAACAGATGTCAAACCAATACATATATATGTGGTTCAAAGCATTTTCGAGCATTTTGACACCTTTAATTTACTTCGCATTTTTATTTTAGTCAGTTATCCGGATGGTATTGTTTTTGACTCAGCATGTGTGGGGTTGTAGGGATAGAGCGTTCTGGCAACTACCTTCGGGCTTCGTGGTTATCCTCAAGTGGCTGGCTTCGCTGGACACTTGATCGTCAGTCGGCCGGTAGGTGTATACTCGGACGTCGTAGGATTTGGCAGGACGTAGCTCCTCCAGGGAAAGTTGTGGTTCCTGAGTCAGCATGGAAAAGGTCCTAGGAAAGAAAGGATTGAAAGTTCGCCTCAACAGCGGAATAATCAGTGCCTGTCACCTGGTTGGTTCGAACAAACCCTACTGCTGTTCTGGTTACGGACTTATTGCCGCCGGCACAAGTTGTGGGGAGGATGACTAAGAACACAGGCGTCCGGCACGTTGGGCTGGGGTGTTTGTCCTTCAAATTGTGATTTTAACTCTGAATAAAAACCACGCAAGTCGGGTTCAGCGATAGTACGGAGTGGATTCAAACACTGAAGCCGTAGTGATCAAGGCGACAGCGTCCCCTAATCGTACGTCTCGTGAACGTAGGGGCCATTTAAGACTAGATCGCCTAACAAATCTAAGAATATTCGGCCAGTTGGATCCGATGCGTGTAAACCACTTGAATCTACAGGGTGCGCGGTAACTGTCAAATTTTTAAATTAAATCCTATTGGCCCGCCAACACTGCACGTCCTTAATGGCTCCCATCAATTTGACAATAAGTATTGTCAACAGGCTAAGGCAGCCCCAAAGGGGTCGCAAATATAGGACTTCCGCACGAGTTCAAAAGCTTAGAAAAATAAACAGACGGTTCCAGTGTTTGACCAGTCTTCTTCGTTCACCTTACTCACAGAGGTTACTCACTGAGTCAGCCTCACAGCTAGAAGAGGACGCTATTCGAACTCCCAAGCCCAAAGTTTTGTTTCGTCAATTAGATGCCTAAGTAGGGTGTTGAGGAAATGCATCAAAGGCTAGACAGTCCCTTTGCCTGCAAATAGACAAAGACTGAGAGGTGGTAACCTCGTAACAGGTGTCTGTAGAAAATGCTCTAATGCTGGGGCCATCCCTAATTATAAAAGTATCCGCCTTGTGATCCAAAAAAGAAGCCGTGTCAGGAGTCTTTTTCACCGGTCCCTACATTACTGCGACAGGGACGATCTCCTCAGGTAGGAGCTAGCTTACTTACATCAGTTATTCTAATTCCATACCTCAAGGAACATCAAACTAACGTTATTTTACATATCTAGGCGTCAAATACTCCTGAAAGTACGCTGGCCAGGAAATTCGACATCCACACAGGCTACATATCCGCTGGCATAACCACTTCAATAGGACCGATACCGAAGTTATTGCCACAGCCAACATAAAAGAGGTCCGGGAACTTCTAATGAGGCCTGGTCATCAACCGTCATGTCGACCTGTGTACTTATTACGACGGTCCGCGCGCATGGCTCACTGACTCTCCAAGATCTAAAGACTGCTAATCCATATCCGGCCACCACTGAATCTCCATACTCCCTTCCACCCCAGTAATTCGCCATTCCCTCCCCTACTGTTATGTTCCGCTTCCCTCCCCCTCCCCCACACATTATGCGAAATCTCCTTGTCTTCTCAAGTCCTAGTGCGACAACCTCACATCCGCCAGATTCATTAAGTTTGTGTCACCAACTTGAGTACTACTCGGTTTTTCACAGTCTTTCTATAGCGGCTCAGAATCTACACCGCGTCAGTTCTAAGTCATATGCATGTATATACGTGTACGTGTGCCTGTAGCATTCTAAGTGAACTGGTTACGTATACACACCTATATATATATATATGATGTTTGAAGCATTTTTTCCCCGGTATGAATTGAAAACAAGCATGTAAAGCAGAATTTATTGGGGCCAACAAATTTCGTGACGGCTTTTCAACTGCAACCCGTCTCTGCATAACATAGGTAACGAATGAACGCGCACAGCAGTATGAATTTGTACAGAATGGCAGTGCATAGGAGCAATAGCCCTGGTAATCTCACGCCTCTATTTTCCTCTGACTGTGATTTGTTGTTAACATTTCGTCTTCCTTTTTTCCTTTTTGATGCTTATGTGGACGTCTTGGCTGATTATTGATTATTTTGAACTTTGACCTTGCTCCTATGCACTGCCATTCTGTACAAATTCATACTGCTGTGCGCGTTCATTCGTTACCTATGTTATGCAGAGACGGGTTGCAGTTGAAAAGCCGTCACGAAATTTGTTGACCCCAATAAATTCTGCTTTACATGCTTGTTTTCATTTCATATATATGATGCTTAGTCCACAAGCACTACTCTTACTTGATATTCAGGCTTCCAGTGGCTAGGCGGTGGCAAATGCCTGACTGCGCAGATCGCGCCACCCTTTACTACTTATTGCTCTGTGGAGGATGAACGCACCAATTAGTCTCAGTCAACTCTTCCCACTTCAAAAGCATATCCTGACTTGCTAAATTGAGCGAAGCCGGACTAGGGACCGCCCACTTGTTGCTCTGTCCTGGTGAGTCGACTGTTCGCGTGTCATGATTGTTTGGGTTGAGCTGCATTCAATGTATTACTGAAGAAATGGAGACTCCCAGATAAAACCCCCGACAGTGGCGGGAAAAGAGAATTTGGACCCAGCACGGCGTTCTAGCTCCCACACTAAACTCCAGATCACCTGGACTTTGCATTGTTTAAATACTGATCTTGAGCAACACCCCATGACGCCTGATCTGAAGGAGACCTTTCTCCTCTGTCCTGGCCGAGGCCATTTGTATGACAAACGGCCGGCCATCAAAGGATTGCGGACAAACACTAGGTGTGGGGAGATTACCTGGGCGAATTTTCCGGTATTATTTCCACGCGGTAGTTTATGGGGTCCGAGGTGTGCGGAGATTGGGCTGGCGGCTGCCATTCGAGGTGAGCACTGTCTTCTGTGGCTGCAAGCAACTTGATTGGACCCGGCGGAGATGGGGGAGGCAGACTCACTGAAGCATGCGGAGAGGTCAGTAAAAGGGCTGACAAGATAAGACACAACCACTTCCCCCTTAATCCACTCCACCCTCCAGTCCGTAAAGGGAGCGAAAAGCACTAGCACCTATATGGAAACGGACGACTCGAACCCTGAGACGCCGACCAATGTTGTTATCCCCGTTTTCGGCCATCTAGACAAATCATTTTCTCACACATAAATGGTGGAGACGACACACAACAGTGCAGATTATCTGCAAGTTCACTAAGTAGTTGCTAAAGTGTTTGAGCGTAGATCAACCCTCAAAGTGCATAAAGTGGTCCATTTCGCCAGACTATGGGAAAACAAGCACTCCAAAAGAGCGGTCGCTCCCCCCCCCTGCCATCTGTTTTGAGTCTTCAGACGCGTCGAAGGCCATAGCTCAGGGGCGAATCTAATTAACTAGCCAAAACACTAATAGATTCACTCTGTTCGCGTCAAAAACACGCGATGCCGACGCCGCAATTGGCAGATCATCATCCCATTGCCAGCTAGGTGAATGGCTCGGGCAGTCGACTGGTGCATGGAGGAGGGAGAGGAGAGTCAGGTCGACAGTGGCGAATCCACTCTCACGACGCGCACTAAGAGTCGAGACCTGACAGAGTAACACAGCCCCTTCAGTCGATGTGAGACCCAAGACGTCCTAACACACGCGGTGGGGATCAGCTCGTGTGTGGCACGCGTAGACGAATTGTTTGGTTTCGCCAATCGCTGCACTCGCGTCCATCGCCGACTGTCGAGACATTCTTTTGCTATCGGAGCAAGGTGTGTGTGTGTGAGGGAGGACTAAGTGCGGCAGATGCTACAACAAACTGATTCGCGCGCTGTGTTGCGCTCACTTTTTTGGGTGCGTGGTGAACGCTGTCGCTTGCCACGGTCAAACTGTTGCTCACAGCGGCAACGGGAAGAAAGCAGGAGCAGAACCTAAAGAAGAAGTCGGTTGCATGGCTGGGCGCTGAACTGGGGCCCATTGAGGTCAGAGAGTTGGTTCGTACCAAGGCCATGAAGGTTTTCCCCCGACGTTGCGTAATGCGATAGCGCAGTTCCCAGAAGCTGAACTTGGTCTGTTAAAGGGGGTCCTCATTCCCCAAAAACATTAATTTTTTCAAAAAGAAATAACAACTGAGCTAGCTTTCAGTGAAATGCAATAGGAAATATTCGCGACTTTTTTAAATTTTGAGGGCAAAATTAATGTTCAGGCCAGTGACTGCCGGGGTAGTCAACTGCAGTTGGTGGTCTGGGTCTAATTTTCTCGAAAAAGATGACAACCTCTGACAATACTACTAATGAAGTTTGACGTACTCGCATTCAAACCATCAAGTTTTACAACAGCCAAGTAACGTGTGATACTAGAGTGGGAAATAGCGAACTGGCAAATTGTACGATAAGTCACCCATAATTCGCAACTGGTCAGATGTGGTTATGTAGCACCACCTGAAGTAAACAAAACCCAGTCACCTGTTATACAGGACCGGTGGTAATAGGAGATTTTTACAGGCGGGGCCGGGGAACGCACAGAAGACGAGGTTGCATGAAAAAGAAAAGCTATTGGGAATGCGCGGTTGCACTTTGAGTGGTTGAGAAATAGTTGTCCCAACCCCTAACCCTAACCGCGACAGTATTGTGTCCATCAGGAGGGGCCACATAACTGCATCTTACCTCGCAGCTTCTTAGGACCCCCCTGTCGAGGAGAGAGTTAGAGAGCGATGGGAAATACACGCCTTAGGCAACAATAGGAATTGATGTGCCCAGGACAAACCCCAACAGAGTTAAATTGTTCTGAAAGCAAGACCTCAGTACCTGATCGTTTGCGGTGCTTTTGAGAAGCCCAAACCTCTGGAATTAGCTCCCTGGAAGATCTGAAAGATAAAAGCATTTGTGAATATTATGCAAATTGCGCAATTTCTTCACAAAGGCAGAATAAATCGGAGGGGATTTAGCCTGGTCAGCAGAGAAATATCGAAGAAAGTAGTGGGTATATGCTTCAAAATTATCCATGACGCAGCGTAATTCCAAAGCCAGGCACCCCGACACGCTTCTTAGGTAAAAACATGTCAAATATGTCCAGATATACAGTGGGTAACGTCATTTATGAAATAGGCGGGAAATAACAGAAGATCTCTAATCCAAAACCAAAGACCAATCAAAAATTCCAGATAAATTTAATTAGAAAAATAAGTACTGAGACAATACTACGTCGCGTAGAATTAACAAAGGGCGAAAGCAAAAAAGTTCGTGCCAGTTGGTTAGCCTTAATTTATGGAAACACATAAGGCAAACAATTGAGTAAACAAAACTGCATAAGCAGGAAAAGTTTAAAATAGAATAAAACGAAATTAGTGCAATACGCAGCATGGCAGCCCGTCGATTGTTAGATGCTTGATCATTCGTTTCAAAACTGTGACTTGAGAATTGCATTGCACTGTTCAAGATGCGGTTGACTACGGCGAATTGTATTTCGTTTGATTTAGCAGACATGGAATCACTGTGATAAAGGAATATACATGTATATATATATGTGCTGGAAAACGGGCATCCCAAGAAATTTAATTGAGGAAGAAGATTTATTCGTCCGACGTTGCGTACTCATGCTTGAGCACATCATCGGAGATAGACCAAGTGGGAAATGCAGGGTTAAAATAGACCATCTAAGCTCGCATCCGATAAGTTCGTCCCGCTCTCTTCTGATTGGCCCTTCTCTCGAGCGTAAATGGGGCCTGACAACCTCGTATGGCGCTGGTAAATCGATACTGCGGTTGATCGAGCTGGCGTCTGATTTCCAGGTCTCGATTACTTCCGTCGCCAGTTTGCTTTCGGCTCGACCGAGCACTTGGACGCGGTCAAAGTCGAACTTCTGATTGTTTTCCAGACAGTGCATGGCGACATGCTATCGTTCATCCTTTCGCCTTACGACCAGTGTGCTCATGCACGCGCGTTCTTAGGCGTTTGTCGGTCATGACGCAGTAGTTGGCTAGACAGCCCAGACAGTTGACGCGACAAATGACGCCGGACGTGTCTGAAAGTGGCAGCCGGCCTTTGGGCTGCATGATTAAGCGGCAGATGGTGGTCTCCGGTCGGTGTCCAACGCCCACGCTTAGCGGTCTTAGCATGCGCTCAGTGGCTTCGGAGACGTTACTCACATAGGACAAGACATGGAAGATTTCTGGTCTTTGTTTCTCCTCACCATCCGTCTTCGTGTGCCTTCGGTACAAGCATTTGTTTACAAAACTGCGTGGATATCCATTGGCAAGGAAGAGGCGCCATAGCGTTTTGCGCTCCCGCAGCTTCTTGGCTTCTGTGCTGCAGTGTGTGTGGATGTGGCGAAAAAGTGTCCGGACACAATTGCGCTTATGCGACAGGGGATGGTTGCTGTTGTAGTGGAGAATTTTCTCCGTGTCTGTCGCCTTTCGAAAGACACCAGTCTGGAGAGTTCCGTCTTCCTGCCTCGATACCTGGACGTCGAGGAAAGAGAGCACTCCGTTATTTTCTTCGTGGTAAATTTGATTTGTGAAAAAACCGAGTAAATTCCCTTTTCAAGTTGTCTTTCGCGTCTCGGTGCAGGATGACAAAAGTGTCGTCTACGTAGCGCATCCAGAATTTCCGCTTGTAGGGTTGAAAGACCTGAGTTTCCAGTTCCTGCAAGACCGCCTCAGCCAGGTAGCCGGAGACTGGGGACCCCATTGGGGCTCCCTTGGATCTTCCCGTAAATTAGACCGTTAAACGTGAAGTACGTGCGTAAACAGTAGTCCAGTAGTTCCATCGCGTGCCTCCTCTTAAAAGGTTTGCCTACTTCGTCGTACATTCTCTTCAATAGATCATCGACCACTCTCATGGTCAATTCTTTAGGGATGTAGGTAAATAGAGAGGTGAAGTCGAAAGATGCCATTATTTCGTCGGGAGCAATTATGAAGCCTTTCAGTTTTTCCAGGAAGTGTGTTGAAGATACGGCTGTGTTTTCTGAGCTGTCCGTCAGCTTCTTTGAAGAAGGGGCGGGAAAAACCTATCGAATGCGAGCGCAGATGGCCTATTTAAACCCTGTATTTCTCACTTGGCTTATTTCCGATGTTGTGCTCGAGCATGAGTACGAAACGTCAGATGAATAAACCTTCTTCCCCAGAGATCACCTTAACTTTCTTTTCCATCTTAACATCTGGAGTCAGAATTTTTGTCTACATCCATATATATATATATATATATATATATATTGAGAAGGTGATACC